TCGGTAAAGGTCTTTCATTGCCGAGGAGGAGTCGCTGAAAAAGCAAACCAATCTGAAGGATGAAATTCAGCGGCTCCAAAATGAGCTAAAGGCGCAGCAGGCAGAGTCCTCCTGAACTTAGGTCAAGCTCGAGAAAGCTCAGAAGCTGCTGGAAGTTAGAGTTTACATCGAGGCTGAGTACGCTGAGGGTTATGAGAACAGTTTTAACGTAGCTCGGCGGCTAGCCTTCCATGCTGATTTTAACATTGACTTGGATCAAGGGGAGACTTGGGCCTCGGATGCCCAGGATGTTTATTTGGTGAACCCTTGTCAGGCTGAGATTGACTTCCTGACTCGTCAAGCTGAAGCTGAGGCCCGGGAAAAGGAAGCAGCTGAGAGGGAAGAAGCTCAAAAGTTGGAAGCTGAGAAGGCCTTAGCCTGTCCTGCTTCATCTTCAGCTGCGACAGCTTCAAGTGGCTAAGTCGTTGCTCCATCCTCAGCCAGATTCTAGAGATGCTGAAGCATAGGAACTCGGGCAATTGTCTATAGATTCTTGCGGATCATCTCAGTACTAAATTTGAAAACCGCATCTGTTTTTGCCTTTTGCTTCAGCTTGCCTTATGTACAAACTTTACCTTGCTTTTAAATTTCAATTAGTTGTACGTAGCTCGACAGCTGCTTTTATCCGTCTTGTGGACGGCTACCGATTAGTGTTTGTTTTTCTAAACTTGGATTTCTGTAGCTCGGTGATCCAAGCATAACTTGTTTGCCTTTAATGCACTGCTTTCCCTTCCAATTGCCTTGCTTTTTTGCTTTAGACATGCTTCTTGCGCTTTTGTTTTTTTTGCAAAAATTTTCTAAGTGTCAAGCTTCGGCTTGGGCCTATTTGATCCCATTTTGTTGGAAGAGTAAGACTGAGTTGTCTGTTGGAGTGCTCCTTGCCCCCCACTAGAAATCCAAAGTGTCATTCTTCGGATTTCTAGGGTGTTTGCTTGAGTTTGCTTGTACTGACGAAGTCTTGCTTCGCCCTGCTTTGTACCACTTCGCAAAATTTTTGAAGTTTATGTTCTTTTTCTATTTTTTTTTATTTTTTTATTTTTTATTTTTTTTTTAAGTTTTTTGAGAAATCTATGAGTTTGCTGCTCAAAAGCCTTGGACTCCGAAAGCAGTATTCTCTTGACCCTTGAAATTTTTTTGGGGGAATGACTATCCGAAGCTTAATGCCGGAGGTTGGCAATGCCTCCGATATAGCTCCTCTAAAGCACGATGCCGGCACTTGTCTATGCTTTAGATTCATCCACGACCCCTTTGCCCCAAGGAACTGATTTATCCAAAGTACCGTGCCTTCGTATGGCTATACTTTAGTTGTGAAATCATTGTGCCTTGTTGGGCGGGTTTAGAGGCAATCCAAAGTACAGTGCCAGTGTTGGGCTATACTTAGGACACTACCAAAGAAAAACCCTTAAGAAAAACATAAAATAGAAACTTGCAAAATTGATAAGAAAGGTAGCTCAAAGGCCTTTCATTAATTTCACAAGATGCACTTACATAGGTTGTTCTTCCTCGAAGGGCTCATACATGAAATTTTTTCAGTACATTAGCGTTCTAGTGGTTCTTCAGTTCGATTCCATCCAACTGACGAAGTCGGTAGTTTCGAGGTTAAAGTTCATCATAAATTTCCTAGGGTCCCTCCCAAGTGGCCGAGAGTTTCCCATGAATGCGGCCTTTTTGTACTGCTGCAGCATTTCGAAGGACCAGGTCCCCAATTTTAAGTGGTCTTGCATTGAGCCTTCGATTATAGAACTTGCTGATTCTTTGCTTATATGCAGCCATTCTGTCTCGAGCCGAATCTCTGACCTCGTCCAGAAAATCTAGGGGATTCTTTCAGAAGCTGTTCATTTTCTTCGGCTGAGAAGTGGTGCACTCGCAGACTTTCTGTGCCAATTTCCACTAGAAGTACGGCTTCGAATCCATATACCAGCTCAAATGGTGAATGTCCCGTAGCCTCTTTTTTAGTTGTCCGAAGTGACTAGAGCATTCCAGGAAGTTTCTCTATCCACTTGGATTTTTGATCCTCCACCCTCTTCTTGAGTGCGTTGAGAATCTGCTTATTTGCTGCTTCGGCTTAGCCATTGCTCTGCGGATGGCAGACCGCAGAATAGGCCAACTTGATGCCAAACTGATCATTGTACCGCCTGAGTGGCAGATTGTCAAATTGCCTTCCGTGATCAAAGACAAAAACCTTCGGGATTCCGAAGCGGGTGATAATATTCTGCTAGATGAACTTCCTCACAGTTTGCTCAGTGATGTTCGAGGCTGCCTTGGCCTCGATCCATTTGCTGAAATAGTCAATGTCGACTATCATCCATCTTTTCTGGTACGGAGAATCTAGAAATGGCCCCAAGATATCCAGCCCCCATTGATCAAATGGAAGAGGATTAAGAATAGGCTGGAGATCTTGAGCTGGCTAATGAATAACTGGTGCGACTTTTTGGCATTTTTCGCATTTTCTGACCAATTCCTTTACGTCCACGACCATAGTGGGCCAGTAGTATCCTGCCCTTAATGCCTTGTGGGCTAAAGTTCTTCCCCCGATGTAGTTTCCACAGATGCCGAGTTGGATCTCTCGAAGGATGTAGTCAGCATCTGTTGGTCCCACACACTTCAGTAGTGGGGCTGAGAATGATTTTTTCAATAGCTCTCCTCTAAAGATGATGAATCTTGAGCTGATTCTCTTCAGCTTGGAGGTTAAGTTTCTGTCTCCGGGAATTTCTCCCCGAAGCTTGTAAGCTAGGATGGGGTCTATAAAGCTCGGCTCAGGTGTGATGCAGCAGATTTCAGGTGCTTCATCAACACTTCTTTCTTGCCGCATCTCCACATAAACGGATCGGTTTATCTTGGTTGGAGGTGAACTTGCAAGTTTGGAGAGTGCATCGGCTTCCGTGTTCTGACCCCTTGGGATCAACTCGACTTCAAAAGTTCTAAGCTTCGCAATTATCGTTTTGATTTTTGTGAGGTAAGCAATCATCGAGGGGTCTTTTGCCTCGTACTCGCCTCGGATCTGATTTGCAACGAGCTGAGAGTCTGTCTTCAAACAGACATGTTCGACCTCTAGTGATATGCACAATTTTAGGCCAGCAATTTTTGCCTTATATTCTGCTTTGTTGTTCTAAAGCTCGGAATGCAAATTTAAGTGCATATTCAAAGGATGGACTTGTCTTCCGACGAGGTAAGTACTACCCCTTGCCCTCGAACCATTTACAGTGGAGGATCCATTCGTAAAAATGGTCCAAGTCTTTTTCTCTTCGTCTAACATTTCCTGGTACGAACATTCGGCCAGGAAATCCGCTAGAGCTTGAGCCTTGATGGATGTCCTCGGCTGATAGCTTATGCTGAACTCGGTGAGCTTAAAGGACCACTTTGCCAGCCTACCGGATTAATCCACTTTGCCGAGGCTTTTTCCAGAGGTGGATCAGTTACGACCACTATTTGATGACAATCAAAATAGGGCCTCAACTTCTAAGCGGCTACCACTATTGCATATGCAACTTTTTCGAGTAGAGGGTAGCGAGTCTCGGCATCCGTCAGAGTATGGCTGACGAAGCAGATCAGCTTCTGGACCTTGTCTTCTTCCTTCAGCAGAACCGCGCTTATAGTGGCAGGGTTAACCGCCACGTACAAGTACAAGGTTTCTCCTTCGGTTGGTCGTGCCAGCGTTGAGAGTTGAACCAGGTGCTCACGGAGCTGCTTGAAGGCCTCTTTTTGTTCGTCTTCCCAGATGAGCTCTTTTGTTTTGGAGAATTTAGGGCCTTAAAGAAGGGTAGACCCTTGTCCGAAGCTCTAGAGATGAACCTGGACAGGGTTGCCATTCTCCCAGCCTGTCGCTGAACATCCCTCTTTGTTTTCGGCTCTGGAAGATCGAGCGTTGCTTGTACTTTGGCAGGATTGGCATCAATCCCCCTCTTGCTGACCATAAAGCCCAGGAACTTGCCTGACTTCACGCCGAATACACACTTCTTCGGATTCAGCTTCATTTGATGTTTTCTCAAGGCGGCGAATATCTCGGCTAGGTCCGCAACATGGTCTTTATCCTCTTTACTTTTGACGATGGATTTTTCCACATAGACCTCCATGTTGTGCCCTTTTTGCTCGGCGAAGACTTGATCCACCAGCCTTTGGTATGTTGCCCCGGTATTTTTTAATTCGAAGGGCATTATTTTGTAATTGTACACCCCGGCGTTCGTAACGAATGTTGTTTTTGCTCGATCGTCGCGGTGCATGAAGATTTGATGATACCCTGAGAATGCGTCCATGAAACTAAGCAGAGCATTGCTGCTTGTCGAATCATCTAGCTGATCGATCCTCGGCAAGGGATAAAAGTCCTTCGGACAGGCTCTATTTAGGTCTGTGAAGTCAATGCACATTCTCCAGGTGCCATTTGCCTTCTGAACCATTACAACGTTAGCCAGCCATTCTGGATACATGTAGGGTTCAATGAAGCCTGCATCCAAAAGTTTTTTGACATCCGCAGCGATGTCGTGGTTCTTATTGGCGGAATAATTCCGCTTCTTTTGCTTGACCGACCGATAGGTGGGGTCGACATTCAGCTTGTGAGAGATGAGGTTCGGGTCAATCCCAAGCATGTTTGCGGCTGAGAATGCGAACACATCTCGGTTGTCCCGAAGGAGTTGGATAAGCTCGACCCGAATGCTCGGATCAAGTCCGAGCCCGATGCTAACGCATTTTTCTAAATCTCCTTCGGTCAACTCAATTAATTCTGTCTACTGGTCCAATTCTATTGCTTTGGAACAGGACTCTTCGTTCTCCGGCCTGCTGCCGATGTCAGTAGGCTTTCCAGACTTCGGCTAGCTGTCCGAATGTGTTGCTTCAGGTGAGGAGCCAGCCTTTCCCTTCCATTTTGATTTTCTTGGGATGGGGTCTCGTGGGCCGAAGCTCTTAAGCCCTTCTTCTTCTTGGTGCTTCGGTCCTTCTCTCTTTCTTTTTCCTCATCATCCTCTTCTTCACGACGATCCTTGGATGGCTTGTGGTAGTTTCATTTTCGGGCAGCTTCTTGGCTCCCTTGAATTCTTTCGGAGTGGCCTTCGTCCGACACGTATATCATCGTTTGATGATATGTGGAGACCACTTCTTGGACCTGATGGATCACCCATGATCACATTGTAGACAGATGGAACGTCTATGACCAGAAATTTGGCCATGACGTTTCTGGCTGCTTTGTCTTTGCCGATGGTGATGGGAAGGGTGATCTTCCCGTCTGGATATGTTTTAGAACCGTTAAATACTGTGACCGGGTAGGGCACCGGACTAAGGTCCTTGGTTTGCAGCTTCAGACGGTTGTAAGCATCCCGAAATAGGATGTTCGATGCACTGCCACCGTCGACGAGGGTTCGCCAGACGTTGTGGTTTGCAATCCCTGTGATTATCACCAACAGGTCATCATGGGGGTATGCTACCCCCCGGCAGTATTCAGCTGTGAACGTAATGTTCGGAACCAAAGATTTGGGGCCTCGGATGGAGGCATGATTGACTTGATGGGTGAGACCCCTCAAGTGGCGCTTACGAGCGTTGCTAGAGCTCATCCCCCCGGAAATGACAAGTATGCCAGGATTCTCCTTATCTTGCGGCTTGTCTTTTTTCTGGCTAAAGTCTATCTGATGCCGAGAGTCTTGCTCGGCTTTCTTCTCCTCGCGATGGTCTGCGATGTATTTTTTCAGATATCCTTTTCGGACCATATCCTCGATCTGATCCTTCAGCTGGATACATTCTTCGGTGTTGTGTCTATGGGCATCATGGAACTCACACCACTTGTTTTTGTTTTTGCTTTGGTGCCACGATGGTGGCGCCTGCGGCTTCTTCCACTTCTCGTTGTTCTTTGTTATGCTATAGATTTTAGCACGAGGAAGAGCGAGAGGAGTGTAGGATTCATATTTCCTTACGAATGGGGTTTTGTCTTTTTTCGGCTCAGCTGCCGAGGAAAGTTTTGAGGCTTTCGCCTTCCCTTTCCTTTGGCCCTGGCCTTTAGACTGATGTCCCTTTGCCTTACCTGTCCCACTTTGTGGTTGGGACTTGGTTTTGTTCCACTCCTCGACCTGGATGTATTTGTTCGAAGCGTCGACAGCTTCCTCTAAGGTCTGCGGGGGATGCATGACCATGAAGTCGAGGAACTTTCCGGCTTGTACCCTGTTCCATAATGCGAAAACGACCAGCCCTTGGTCTAGACTTGTGATTCTAAAGGACTAGTTGCTGAAGCGGGTCAGATAGTCTCGGAGGCTTTCATCCTCCCCTTGCTCTCGGCCCATGAGCTCTGCAGTTGTTATCTCTCGGCGATTTGCCGTAGAGAATTTTCTCTTGAACTTGTTAGAGAGGTCCTTCTAACCGGTTATTGAGCCTTCCTTTACCCCTTTAGTGATCCACGCTTGTGCGACACCTTTGAGGGTAGTTGGGAAATATTTGCACCAGGTCGCTTCGGACCTGGGGTTCAGATACATGTGCCCCTCGTAGGAGGCGATAAGGTCCTTCGGTATGAAGTTTTTTCATATGTGGTGTGTGTCGGTATTTTCAGTGTTAGCACTCTTTCTTCCAGAATCCATTTTTGGAATGGGGAACTGGAGGGAACCATCACAGCTTTCCCTTTAGTCTCGACGGTTGGGACCTCGCTTCCTCCGTTGTGAAAGGCGGAAGTGGTTTTTGTCCTCGGCTGGTACCGTGAAGGGTAAGGTTGAGTTCCGTCAGGGTAGGTGAGGTGGTTGTGGATGCTCACCTCCCTTGAGTCGATACGTTCGTGAATGTTTCGGCAAGCAGTTTCTTGCCGCGTGGAAGCGATGTTGGTGCTTCTGAAGCTTTGGTCTTCGGGTTCGTCGAAGAACTGGGTTTTCTTTTTCTTTCCCGCTCAGTCCTCCAAGTATCCTCTTCCCAATGCTCCCCAAGCTCTTTATGGGATGGAGTTCGTCCTCCATCCTCTTAGCCTATCCTCCTTCTCTGGTTTCCCGATTGCTTGATTGTATCAGCGCGCACCGAGGAGATAGGAGGTGGGAACTGTTGGTTTTCTTGGGCTTTCATGAAGTCCATGAAAACCGTGAGGGCTTTGGCCACCTCTTCTGAGGTAGGACCCGTCTGGGGTGTCCCCCTTGGGTGAGATTGAGATCGTCGACTAGGTGTAAGACTCCTAGCCTTAGAATGGCTCGGTTGGCGTGAACCTGATGGTTCGCCGGTGTTGTGAGATGGTTTCTCCGGCGTGGCTCTCTCAGATGAGGCAGCCTCCGAAGATGAAGATGAAGAAGGACCTTTCTTCGATGAAGAAGGATTAGTTTTCTTCGCGCACTTAGTCATGTTGCTAAGATGATTGATTTTTGGCTTGTTTTGATTGTCTTCCTCACAGATGACGCCAAATTGTTTCGGGTGTAAATAATGGGTCCTTCGGATGGACCCTTCTGGTGAGCGGAAGACTGAACTCGGCCCAATTGATGACTGGGACAATGATTTCCTACACAGCAAACACACGTAAACTGGCCTCGGGGGTTGTGTCGAGGAAGGTCCCTCCGATGTCGAAGTCAGTACAGTGTTTAGAGAGAAAGCTATGCAAGAGAATTAATTGATTGAGGCTCAAAGTGAATGAATTGAGAGAGAGAGAGAAGTGAAGGCTTTTATACCTTACTCAAATGGATTAAATGGGTCTTGAAGCCAAGTGGGCTTACCACGTTGACTGGACCTTCTTCGACTGACTTGGCATGCTTGGGAGAGTTGAGCCTTTTTTGGGTTTTTATTTGAATTATTTGGTGACCGGCCCAATTGGAGTAAATTGGACCCAAACACTCCTTGTGTAATATCTTTGTCAGTATATATAATGTAGTTGTAAACTAATAATGGAAGCTAAGTACTTCGTATGTTATTAAGTCTGTCTATCTCCTAACAAAATAGTGAATGCAAAAGGTGAAATGTCCTAACTTTAAGTTAGGATTTACATCATCAAGCCCAAGTCTATCATAGGAACAATTGCGTTAAATTGATTTATAAGAAATACTTACAACTTAATTAATTGATAGTGGATACCTTCATACCTAAGGGTATACTTCGTATTTGATATATGGTCTATAAGAATTTCGTAGAATGGATTCATAAGAATCATAACAAATTAACAACTCCTTTATTAGAAATCATTTTATAAATCATTTTATAAACACAGCCCGTTCAATTTTTTGTTTTTTATTTTTTTTTTCTTTTATAAAACTCTATTTAAGCTCGTTAAAGCTCAAAATACAAGCAAGTATGTTCACGGGATGGACTAAATTTGAATAAACCAAAGTACTCTTAACAGGTCAAGACCAAAAGAGAATTTTAAAAGCTCGTTTTTTAGCATGTCAAGACCAAAAGAGAATTTTAAAAGCTCGTTTTTTAGCATGTCAAGACCGAAAGAGAATAATTAAGATGAGTTTCTAACCCGAATCATTAAACCCAACTATTACGAACCGATCCGAGAAGGAATTTGAACTGCTAAAAATTCGTTTTTTGAAAATCGAAAACGGACCTAACCCAATTTTTTCCAACACGGAACTGAATTGTACCGAATTTGTGCAAACCATTAATGACCTGACTCGTTATCAAGCCGAACTGCTACAACCCGAAACCGATTCCGAACCAACGATTACGTCCGAACCCGATTGTAACCCGGCCCATTGTAAATCTAAACCGTTTAAATCCGGCAAAAATCCGATAAAGCCAAACTGTTCCAACCCGTAACTCGTTGTAACCGAACTGTTTTCAACCCTTAACCCATTGAGATCGAACCATTTACAACACATAACCCATTGAGAGCGAACTGTTTACAACCCGTAGCCTATTATGACTGATTTGTTTGCAACACGTAAACAAATGTTTATGATCCGATTTGTTTCAACCCGCTACTTAATAAACCCAACTTATTTAAGACTTAACTCGATTATAACGTGACCCCTTATCTGATAAACCCAAATCGATGATGAACCGACCCGATTTAAACCCAATATGATTTGAATTGAAACCCGCTTCAAATTGGATAAACCGGTTTTCAAATGACCCAGTTCAATCCAAACCAACTACGACCTGAACCAATAACGATCCGACCCGATTTCACCTGACTTGTTTTGAACCAAAACCCGTTTTCAAACCGACCTAATTCAACCCAAATTGATTATGACCCGAACCAATTACAACTCGACTCGATTAGGACTCGAACTGTTTTGAACCAAAATCCGCTTTAAATTGGCTAAACCTGTTTTAAACCGACCTGGTTCAACCAAAGTGAATATGACTCAAACTGATTACAACCCAACCCAATTAGGACCCGACCCGGCAACTCGTATAAATACCGCAATAAAAAAAACCATACCGAACTGACCCGATAATTTTCAAAACCGACCCGAACCGACCTGATAATTTTCAAAAGCGACCCGAATTGACCCGCTCATCATTTCAAACCGTTATAAACCAATTTATTGTTACCGAAATCAAACCATTTACCCGAATTGACACCCCGAATTCTTATCAAACTTGACTCGATTTGTTTACAACTCAATTTTAGATGGGAAAATAAAAAGGTTGGTTATTCCATTTGATTTCCTATTGTTGCCCATTAATTAGCACGCTTATATGTGCGCCGATGGGTTCTGTTTGTCTTTGATTGGTGCTTTGCATGCTGGCCGCATTCGGCCATGCATGCTCCCATATTATGACAAGCAGTCTGGTGGGCTTGAGCCTTGAGTGTATGTGGTACAACTTTGATTTGCATACAAATTAAATAGTGTGGGTATATACTTAATAATTTCTCCATACTATTTTAATTATTACTCCCTCCATTATTAAATATTTGATCTATTTTTCCATATGCGGAGTTTTAGAAGAAATTGAACAAAGTAATAAAATATAGAGGTAGTGGGGGTTAGTGAAAGCTAATTGGTGGAGAGAGAATGTAAAGGTAATTAAATATAATTATATTGGGTCCTACTAGGTAAGAGAAATGAATTAAATATTGTAAAAAAATTTCAAGTAAAGAAATGGAGCAAATATTTAAAAACGGCCGAAAATAAAAAGTGGAACAAATATTTAAAAATGGAGGGAGTATAATTTTATGATTATTGATGCAAACTTATAATACTTTTAGTTTTATTTATATATAAAAAAAAAAATTAAAGTTGATGTTTCAAAAATATATAAGTTCGTATATGCTGATATAGACTTAATAAAATTTATACATATATATATATATTATATGTTGAAACATAGACACAAAAGATCAGTAGTGATTTAATTATGTGATATTATACAAATACTTTTAGTGATCAAATTAAAGCAAGAAGATTTATGACCAACTCTATTAATCGTAGTTTATGATACTAATTTTACCTCTTTCAATCTTTGTAGAGAGAAACCACATGCAGGAGGCTTTTTTTTTTTCTTTCAGTAAGGAGAATAGCCCTATTGGCCAAAATCTCTCACATGTTCGCCCAGCTCAAGTTAGTGGGCTAGGGTTTTTGAGAAGGGGAGGGGGTAGAATAAGGGAATCTTTACCTCAAAATACCTCTAACAGGGTTTGATCCCACAACTTCATCATGTTTGTGAGATGCAAGCTTTCCCATTAAATCAAGCTTTACTTGGTGAAACCACATGCATATTAGACTTCAAGAACAAAAAGCACAATTAAGTGGTAAGTAGAGATTGGAAGGTACCCATATATGTTGGGCCTGGGTCACCAACCTTATTGGGCCGCACGCACACTCCACTCCACATTAGTATGATATTGTCCACTTTGGGCCTAGCCTGCACGAATTTGTTTTTGGGGACCTTCCCAAAAGGCCTCATACTAATGCAGTGTGCATTCACTTATAAGGAGTGGGACTTGGGATGAGCAACCCTAATAAATCTCCCCTCAGACTAAGGACCACATAACTCATGGCCTCCCCTCCAGCGAAACTATCTTGCACCGCTGCTATTACCACGGGACATGCCACCTAAGCCACAATATTAGGAGAAATTTCGACGCATGGCACCACAATCGCGAGGTCACACATTTGAGGGAACGTTCCACACACATAGCGCCCGTGTCTATCCTGCCGAACCATCGGTTTTGAACGGGACATGCAAGCTGAGCCACAATATCAGGAGAAATTTCGACGCAAGG